TGGATGAGGGTGGGTGATCCTCTCTCTCTCTCTCTCTCTCTCTCTCTCTAAAAACAATCTAAAGGTCAGATTGTTTTTATTCTGCATCTCAATTTTTTATTGAATTCGAAAAATACAATTAATTCTCCACGCCATTCTGTAACCAATCAGGAGGAGGGATTAAGATTCACGCAACATTTATCGATCAATCAGCTGGAGGTATTTTTATTCACCTAACCTTTATCAACCAATCGGGTGGAGGTATTTATATTCAGCAACATATATCGACCAATCACGTGAAGGTATTTATATTCTGCAACATATCGACCAATCAGGTGAAGGCATGACATTCACCAACATTTATCAATTACTCCCTCCCTCCCTCCCTATTCAGGTCACCCCCCAGAGGTCAGGGTGGTCAGCAGTAGTCATAGTGTGTCCTAAGGGGTCATCGCCGTCACTAACTGCCGCTGTAAAATAATTTCCTGTGGGAGGAGGGAGGTGGAAGAAGATGAGAGGAGGAGGAGGAGGAGGAAGAAGGAAATGGGGGCGATAAAGGGAGGAAGAATAGAAGAAGGGGGGAGAAGAAGAGGAGGGGGGTGAGGAAGGGGGAAGACCAGATCAGTGAATGAGGCAGTGAAAGTTAAGGAGAAACAAGAAGAAAGAGAGAAGAAGAATAACAGGAAATGAAGGAGGAGGTGAAGGAGAAGAGGTCACAGAACGGTTATAGGGATACGTCAGGTCAAAGGAAGTGACCTCGTTCGGCTGACTCTCCAAATGACTCTTAAAATTATTCCCAAGATACTCACTACTGGCTAAGAGCATGGGAGGGGAAGGGAGAGAGGAGAGAGAGAGAATGGGGGAGAGGGATTGTAGGAGGAGGAAGGAGGTGGTGGGAGAGAGGAGAGGGGGAAAGGAAAAGAGGTGGAAGGAAAAGAGGGAGGAAGAAAGGAAGAGAAAGGGGGAGGAGAAAAGGGAAAGGAAGTCGCCTAAAAGACTTGAAAATTTTCCACCAAGACTGAAAAATGAATCGTGCTAAAATTCTCACTTTCTTCGGAAAATTTCTTCGTCTTTTAAATAAATTGTCGTAAAAATTCTCCTTTTTTTTTCAGACTGGTAAAATATCGCCGACACTTAGAATTTAAACCACAATCTGTTTTTACAATCGAGAAACACCAGGCAGCAGTGTGGACCCGTGTCAAGGCTCAGTGTGGCTCCCTGATGCATAATGAAGAAGGCGACAAATGGTGTTAATCAGCTCTGGGGGGGCTTGTGTACTCTAATTGCTTACTGGGAATCTGTAGGTGACAGTTGGGTCGAGAGGTGTGTGTGTGTGTGTGTGTGTGTGTGTGTGTGGAGGGAGGTGGTGACTGTGGGGCCTCCCTTCCTCTCTCCTTTCCATCCTTCCTTCCCTTCCCTTCCTTTCCTTTCCTTTCCTTCCTTCGACATCTTCATTACGGTCTCACTTAGTCCATGACGTCACTGCCTCAAGCGACCGATGGATGGGGTAATTGTTCCCTGAGTCTTCCTTCTCCCACCACTGCCGCTCACCTACTTGTGATTAGCTACTCCTACCTTCATCCTTCATCCCCCGTTTATGTGATTTGTATTACCCCCCTCCCAGGGACGGCCTTAAGCCAATTGCTCCCAATTGGGCCCCGCGCCTAAGGGGGCCCCGCGCTAGAGTAATCTACTCTAGGCTCGTCAAGAACGTTTGAACAGTTTGGCAATTATGTCCATTGAATCTGAAATTATCAGGAGTTCAAACTTAGACAAAATTCTAAAAGACTTCGCAGAGAAAAAAGCAAGAAAGAAAACTATCTCGTAATAAAAGTCAATAATAATATGACTCATTTATAATTTATGAATATTAATAGAAATCCACAAAAGATAATTTGTTTCCAACAATGCACTTAAATTCTGATTTTTTTTTCTGAACATAAAATAAATTAATATTTTTAATAAATCATTTCACAGTCACTAAAACAAGTGGGATTGTAACTATGTACTTTTCAGAGGTGATTCACATCTTGTTTGTTACTTGTAGCCTTACATGTATGCAATTAAATATTGAAATGTAGCTTAGATCTGTTCAGTCCATTAACTCGCATGCATGTTTTAAGCGCACAGTTTGATTACTTTCCATTCTACCATAGAGATATAAAGTCTATTATAGACTTTATTTCTATTTCTATGATTCTACAGGCCTTGGCTGGGAACCTGGGGCCCACCAAACTTGTTCCCAATTGGGCCCCGCACCTCCTAAGGCCGGCCCTGTCCCTCCCTCCCTCCCCTCCCCAACTCTTAGCGATTCGCCAGTCGGTATATTTTTAAGGGGGAGGGTTGAGGTCTGTGTGATTAGCCAATTTTCATTTCAACTTCAATTGTGGTGATGGTGGTTGTTGTGGTGGTGATGGTGGTTGTTGTGGTGGTGATGGTGGTTGTTGTGGTGGTGATGTTGGTGGCGGGAGTAATAAGGTGGAGAGGGGAAGTGAGGGGGGAGGGTAAAGTGAAGGTACTCGAGAGGGAAGTGGTGTAGCCAGAGGTAGGTGGCAGGAGAGGGAGGAGAGGAGGAGGAGTAGCAATTAGATATGGAAGGAATGCGGACTGGAAGAGGGTGGGAGAGAGGGGAGGGGAAGAGGAGGGGAGAGAAGGGGAGTAGAATGAGTACAAGATTGCAAAAATTACTCCCCACTGTATTTTAATGTAGACAGACAGACAGATAGGTAGATAGATAGATGGCGAGAGAGAGAGAGAGAGAGAGAGAGAGAGAGAGAAGAAAAAAAATATATATATATATATATATATATATATATATATATATATATATATATATATATATATATATATATATATATATATATGCTGAGCATAAATTGTTCCGTACCCAAAAATATTCCTCCTAAGAAATCATTTTTACCTCATAAGATTGTGAAGAAACCCACAACTATTGTTACAACCTCCAGCTGTTGTTGTGGTGGTAGTCCCGTGAAGGTTGTTGAGTTCGTTGTAGCCAGTGTTGTTGTCCACACACCACCAAAATCACCATCAGCACCCCACCACCCCACCTCCACCTCACCACCACCACCCACCTCCACCACACTCCACCACCACCACCCCACCACCACCACCACCACCACCACCACACCCCCACCACCACCACCCCACCACCACCACCACCACCCCACCACCACCCCACCACCACCACACCCACCACCCCACCACACTCCACCACCACACCACACTCCACCACCACACCACACTCCACCACAAGTTATACTAATACACCACCCTAGACAAAATTCCTCCTACTTAGATATTCATGTTGGCGTCAGTGAGAAAGAAGAAGAGGAGGAGGAGGAAGGAGAAGAGGAGGAGGGGAGGAGGAGGAGGAGGAGGAAGAAGAAGAAGAAGAGAAAAACACGCCCCCTCCTGTCTTCCTCATACTAAATGGCTAATTCCGGGCTTTTTGATGAGGTTTCATTATTTACTTGATTAGGTTTCATATATTTTTGATTTGGGGATGATTGGTTCCTTGGAGTTGAGAGAGAGAGAGAGAGAGAGAGAGAGAGAGAGAGAGAGATCGAATCCCTTCTCATCTCTCTTGCCCTTCTTTCCCTCTTCCTCCTCCCTCCTCCCCTCTCCGCTACCTCTCCTCCCCAGTAAGGTGATCGCCTCGACCTGATATGCTTGTTGTAAGGAGGATGCGTGACCCGAACTGCAGCTGGTGTCTAGGAAGGGAAAGGAGGGAAGGAGGAAGGGGAAGGAGGGGGTATTGGGTCACTTTACGAGAGAGATTAACCCTTGAGAACAACATCCCTGAGATACCGAGATTCTGCTGGAGACGTCCTTGAGATCCTGGGTGCCTCCTTCCTTTCTTCCTCTTTTCCTTCTCCTCCTCCCTCTTCCTCTTCCTCTTCAGATGTTCAATTGTGGAGAGAGAGAGAGAGAAAGGAAGGGAATGACGGAAGGAGAGAAGGTGAAAATAAGGGAAGGAATATATAGAAAGAGAAAGATGGAGAAAAATATGATATAGGGAGGGGGAGGAGGGAATGAAATAAGAGAGGGAAGGTGAAGAGAAAGGAGGAATGGATAGAGAGAGAGGGGAGGGGGGGTAAGGGGGGAGAGGGTGGAAAGAAGGGAGGAATGGATAAAGACAGATATATGAATGAAGGAGAGAGGAAGGAAAGAGAATTGAAAAGATAGAGAGAAACACAGAGATAAAAACAAGCATCTGTTGTGTCGTACTGTTGTGGTGTGGCTGTGCAGGGTGGCTGTGCTGGGTGTGGCTCTGGGTGTTGCTGTGCTGGGTGTGGCTGTGCTGGGTGTGGCTGTGCTGGGTGTTGCTGTGCAGGGTGTGGCTGTGCAGGTGTGGCTGTGCTGGGTGTGGCTGTGCTGGGTGTTGCTGTGCAGGGTGTGGCTGTGCAGGGTGTGGCCTGCAGGGTGTGGCTGTGCTGGGTGGCTGTGCTGGGTGTTGCTGTGCTGGGTGTGGCTGTGCTGGGTGTTGCCAGCAGGTGTGGTGTGCAGGGTGTGGCTGTGCTGGGTGTTGCTGTGCTGGGTGGCTGTGCTGGGTGTATTGTGCTGGGTGTTGCTGTGCTGGGTGTTGCTGTGCTGGGTGTGGCTGTGCAGGGTGTTGCTGTGCTGGTGTCGCAGTGGCTTTTGCTGTGCTGGGTGTGCTGCTGTTGCCAGCAGGGTGTGGCTGTGCAGGGTGGGCTGCAGGGTTGCTGTGCTGGGTGTGGCTGTGCTGGGTGTTGCTGCAGGGTGTTGCTGTGCAGGGTGTGGCTGCTGGGTGTGCTGCTGGGTGTTGCTGTGCTGGGTGTGGCTGTTCTGGCTGTGTCGCGTTGTGCAGTTGAAATAATAATAATAGTATGCTAAAAAAAATCTGTGGTCAAATAAATACGCCCCTGACTCGCTGGGTGAACAGACTACTTATACAGGTATATATAACCACTACCTATTTCTCTCCTGCTGTTTACTTCTTCAGGAGCCTTGATCTAACCTTCCTCTTGTTCCTCCATCAGGTGACGTCCGGTCTGACCTACGAGTGGGCAACGATGGCGTCAGGACCTGGAGGATACGCTGTTTCGCCATTGCCTCCCTCCTGCCTACTAGAGGTGTCCCTACCTACCCAGGCCAGTCTCCTCCCGGCCATACACCGTTACGAGGTGGCTATGGCCCCTGGACCTCCCAATGCTCTCACCATCAGCTACGGCGTCGGGGATCGTAGTCGGCAAGAGAGAGTGGTCGAGACTGTGTTGCTGGTGAGTTGTTCTATGTTGTTTAGTGAGAGAGAGAGAGAGAGAGAGAGAGAGAGAGAGAATTAGACCGTTTCCCTAGTATGAGTATGTAACTTCACCCTTTCTGTGTGTGTGTGTGTGTGTGTGTGTGTGTGTACTACGAGTAATAACATCGCGTCGTGTCGTGTTGCAGGTGAACGGATCGAGGGTGTTGCGACGCGCTTGGGACGGGACCAGTCGCACGGAAACACTGACGGACGGAGCCAGCCAACCTCTCCTACGACTGACGTACGACCACAACGGACACCCGACCTCTCTCACCCTGGGCGACCGTCTCTCCTCCCTCAACGTCACATACGACAGGTAAGTTCTTCTTCTACGTCATTCTTCTTCTACGTCATTCTTCTACTGCTTCATTCTTCTACTACGTCATTCTTCTTCTGCGTCATTCTTCTATTACGTCATTCTTCTTCTACGTCATTCTTCTACTGCTTCATTCTTCAACTACGTCATTCTTCTTCTGCGTCATTCTTCTATTACGTCATTCTTCTACTACGTCATTCTTCTACTACGTCATTATTCTTCTACGTCATTCTTCTTCTACGTCATTCTTCTACTACGTCATTCTTCTTCTACGTCATTCTTCTTCTGCGTCATTCTTCTATTACGTCATTCTTCTATTACGTCATTCTTCTACTGCTTCATTCTTCTATTACGTCATTCTTCTATTACGTCATTCTTCTACTTCTGTTTACAGGTATTGGGTATAAATCTCAATCTACCTCAAGACGTCATTAAAATTGCTCGTAACTTTAATTAATGAACTTAGTAATTAAGGTAATGTGTTAACTTAGAATTTGAAGACGTAGTTGGGTAGTTAGGCCAGAGAATTGGCAGTATACATACAGTATTTAACGTCGTAGTACCGTGGTTAAGTTACCTGGAGAATTCGTGGTTAGATGAGTGTGTGCAGTGGCTGTTACGTCAAGCCGGAGATAAGTAACGTCAATTTCCAGTTCAGGAAATTGACTCCAACGTAATCAGGATTTGCCAGAATATTATATGTATTTCGGACCAGCGGATGTCAGGTGTGTGTGTGAGAAGGGGTTGTCAGGTGTGTGTGTGTTGGGGTGTTGTCAAGTGTGTGTGTGTGTGTGTGTGTGTGTGTGTGTGTGTTTATGTGCGTGATTTTCCGTATGTATATAATTATGTATTACTGTATAAGTATATACATACCTACCTATAAAGTAAACCACCGAATCAATAGCAGTCTAATCAAGAGCCGCCCGATGACGTCACTGCTAATTAACCAATCAAGAGCTACCCCCCTGATGACGTCACTACTAATTAACCAATCATCTCATCGCCTGGCCTCTAATCCCCCCAAGTCGTTAAGAGACAAAAGATAATAATCCCTAAACTTTATTCCCACAATAATTACACAACTCCCCAGGGGCTGACGGCGGTGAAAGGGAGGGAAAGTGGGAGGTGAAAGTGAGAGATTGTAAATGTTTAAAAAAGTTGAAGATGAAAGGGAAAATTGATGGTGATTGAGGGGAATAATAGTGAAAGTGAAGGGAAATAATAGTGAAAGTGAAGGGAAATAATAGTGAAAGTGAAGGGAAATAATATTGAAAGTGGAGGGAAATAATAGTGAAAGTGGAGGGAAATAATAGTGAAAGTGAAGGGAAATAATAGTGAAAGTGAAGGGAAATAATAGTGAAAGTGAAGAAAAATAATATTGAAAGTGGAGGGAAATAATTGTGAAAATGTAGTAAAAGTATTAGTAATTTGAAGATGAAATAGAAAGTTGAATAGAGAGACGGATAATGAAAGTAGATTTAACTAATGAAAGTAAACAAAACTGAATGACAGTCGATAAAAGTAAAGAGAAAGTATGAAACGAAAGTGAAACTGGAAATACAGGGAAGAGAGATTCAGAACAGGTAGATGGATTAACACAGAATTCGGAAGGTTACATAAAGAGAGAGAGAGAGAGAGAGAGAGAGAGAGAGAGAGAGAGAGAGAGAGAGAGAGAGAGGTGGCCCCGGGAGGGGTGGGAATTGAGTAGGGCAGTGCTTAGGCAGAATTTTGCAGGATTAGGGTGGGTAGGGTGGGTCACTAGGTCAGGCAGGGTCATCGGGTGGGTGGGTGGGTTTAAGGTGGGTCACTATAATGTTTGTCGATAGTTGGATTATCAATTATCGGGACACAAACAACAACTCTATAACAAGATTTATAAACCGACTTTCGATACTTTTAACTTTTAATACTTTTTATACTTTTTGTCGATAACCGTAAAATATCCACGATCCAGGAAATTACGAGTAAATATTAGAACAAATGATAATAATAATAATAATAATAATAATAATAATAATAATAATAATAAAAATAAAATTAAATTACACAGTTTTATTATATAATTCATTTTCACCTGGAGTTCATTATGGCTACCTGACTGTAATTAATGGGTTAATAGATATGCAAATTACCCCTCCCTCCCCCCCTTTTTTTCCCCTTGCTCCTCCTCCTCCCCTCTCAGGATCTAGTGAGGGGAGACGGTGGATGAGGGGATTAGTAGGCACCCCATAGAATCACCAATTACCCTTGTTACTGCTCTTTCTCTCCCCTCTTTATTCCCTCATTTCCCCTCACCTCTTCTTTTTTTTATACCTTACTCTTTTTTTTCCTCATTTCTATTTCTCTCGTTTTTCTCTATCATTCGTCACCTCTCTCTCTCTCTCTGTCTCTCTCTCGTCCTCTTCCTCCTCTCCTCTCCATCCCATCTATCTGATCTCCTCCCTCACCACCTCAACCCTCCCCCTCCCCATTCCCATCCCACCTGATCTCTACCATCAACCCTTCCCTCCTTTCCCTCCTCCTCCCCAGATGGAACTAACTTGTACCACTGCCAAACCAACGCCGGTGTCGGGTGTGACTATTTAATAACGTATTGGTAACTTCTCATTCTCGACTAGGAGAGAGAGAGAGAGAGAGGAGAGAGAGAGAGAGAGGTGGGGGGGGGAGCTGAGGAGGAAGGTTCGGTGTAGGGATTAGGCCGATTGAAATGACGATTGGATTTCGATGATTTTGAAAACGGATTAGGTATTACAGGCCTGGGAGGTGATTGGAGTATTAAAGAGATTGGAAAGAATGAGTTTTGAGTGAAGGATTAGGGATTGGAATGTGAATATGATTTGAGGGATTTGGTTGTGATGATGAATGACTCGGGGATTGGAATCAAATTGAATTGGATAGATATTGATATAGATTAAAGATTAAGGATTTTAAAGGTATTCAATTGTCAGAACAAAAACATTAGCCTAGATAAATGAAAATTGAAATAAAAACAAATAAATATATGAGAAAAAAATAGAATACAGTTCCCAGTTATCTTAAAAATATCAATAAATTAGGAATAAAATGGATATGTCAGCTGGTGTTGGGTCAGGTTAGGGTCAGGTTTGGTTAGGTTAGGTTCAGGTTAGGTTAGGTTCAGGTTAGGTTGGGTTCAGGTTTGGTTAGGTTAGGTTGGGTTCAGGTTAGGTTAGGTTAGGTTAGGTTGGGTTCAGGTTTGGTTAGGTTAGGTTCAGGTTAGGTTAGGTTGGGTTCAGGTTAGGTTAGGTTCAGGTTAGGTTGGGTTCAGGTTAGGTTAGGTTAAGTTCTGGTTAGGTTAGGATATTCAGTCATCACGTGAAATAATCTGGTGTGTTTAAGCTTCACGTGATCCGTATTACATAGTTGGGAAAAATAAACATCGCTCATTACGTAAACATTTCGCTCAGATCTTCATGTCTCTTCAACATTAAGATAATTACCAAACAATAACACTGAACGAATTAAAAAAAACAAGAAAAAAACACATCATTGGAAGAAACAAAACAAAGTAATCAAGTATTTATATAAACAAATTCTGATTATATTGTTTATTTTTTATCTCACTAAACGAATGTAAACAAATCCGGAGAAAATCCACAATGACGTCACGGGGTAGAAAAACGACGTAATATAACCCTCACCCCCAAAGAAAAAACATTATTATTTCATTGTATATATAAAAACAAAATCACGAAACGAACGAAAACAAATCCGGGGAAAAAATCCTAAAGGAACGACGACGACGCCAGGAGGTGAAAAATTATCTTTACGAGCCTAAAAGAACGATAAGGAGGCGGCTCAGTGCACAAAAACCCCCGACCGCTGTGAAACTCTCTCAGTGACCGCATTTACGGACAGTTAGGGGAAAAACTACTGCGAAAAGGGGGAGGGGGGGGGTTGGGGAGAGGGGGAGGGGGAGGGGGGTTAAAGAGAGGGTAAGGCGCTGTTAAGGGGGAAGGAAAGTTATGTAAGGGAGATAGGGAGAGGAAGATGGTCAGAGATAAGAGAAAACGAAAGATAATAAATAAGAGAACAAAATATAATCAATCAGTTATTAAGAGTCACGTGTTTATATTGTTCTCAATAATGAATTAAACTCCATTTTAATCCCCTTCACCCACTCCCCCAATCACTCCCCCACCCACTCCACTCCCTTACCCACTCCCCCAACCCTCACCCACTCCCCCACCCTCTCCCCCAATCCCCCCGAAGAAAAAATTTAATTCATTTATTTTCCCCCTAGGCTATTTTTTCACAGGATGGTCTTAAATTAGTGGTGAAACATAACTAAGACACTGTAATTATAATGGTCTTATAGGATAGGAAAAAAAAGATACACGATGTTAATTTTTTTCCCAGTAATACAACAGAGCGTGTGTGTGTGTGTGTGTGTGTGTGTGTGTGTGTGTGTGGTGGTGAGAGAGGGAAGAGAGAGGTAGAGAAGATAGGGATAGTGAAAAGAAGAGAAGAGCAGAAGAGAGAAGAGAAAATAAATGATAGGTAGAAAACTAATTAAAACTAAATCAAAAGACGACTTAAATCTACCCGAATCTTAACAAAAACAACAATATCAACAACATCAATAACAAATACAACAACAACAACTCGGTAAAAACAACAACAACTCAGTAACAACCACAACATAAACAACATAAACAACAACAACAACAACAACATAAACAACGACAACAACTCGGTAACAACAACAACAACAAAAATAGTAAACTGTTAAGAGAATCATTTCCTGGGTTAGTGAGAGTTAAAATAAAGTTGCTTTCACCTCAGTTGCTTTCACAGTGGAGAGAGTTGAGAGGTAGGGGGAGGGGAGAAAGGAAGTGAAGGAAAGGGAGGGCAGAAAAGGGAACAGAGAGAGAGAGAGAGAGTACAGGGAAAGAGAGGGAAGAATAGAGAAGGGAACGGAAGGGAAAGGTAAAGAAAAATAGGAAAACTAAGGAAGAAATGTGAAAGGAAATGAAAGGGAGGGGAAATAAGTGATGGAATATAAAGAAATAGAAAGGAAGAGAAACCATGGAAAGAGAAGAGAAGGGGAGGAAAGGAAGAGAAAGGGGGGAAGGAAAAAAGAGAAAGGAAAGGAAAAGGAAGGAAAAAGTTTATAGTCCCTCTTAAATTTATTCCCTCATTGTAAAGTTTCCCTCATCATTCACTTTTTTTCCCTCCTTTAAAGTTGAGGGGAAAAAATTCAAGACAATGTGGTTGTTGTTTTGTGTTTCCTTAATTGTGGAGGAGTTTTCTTACTTTTTCTTGATATTGTTTTTCTTGTTGTTTACGAGTTGTTGTTTTCACTTGTTTATGACGATTCCATGTGTCCAGTGACCCCATGTATCCCATGACCCCATGTTCCCTTTGACCTCATGTGTCCCTTGACCCCAGGTGACCCTTGATCCCATGTGTCCCTTGACCCCATATGTCCCTTGACCTCATGTGCCCCTTGACCTCATGTACCCCTTGACCACGAAATGACCTGTCTTAACACTATCTAACTCCTACCATGACCTCGTATTCACCCCTTATGAGCTCTGACATTCGCCCCACAGGTTCGGACGGACGGAGGCGCGTCAGTGGGACTGGTCAAGTGAGACTTATCAGTACGACGAGCAAGGTTTACTGTCAAGTGTGTCCTCCCACACCGCCCACACCAACAGCTACACATTCGGCGAGACCAGACTGGTGAGTACTGCCCCCTGAGGGATGGCTGGGTGCGTGGGTGGATGAATGAATGTTTGAATGGGTGTTTCGGTGGATGGATGGATGAGTCTGTCCTGATAAGCTCTTGTTTATATCGCTATTCTCTTCCTTGGTTCAGCCTGCCACGATGACCCTACCATCTGGCCGCTCTTGGAGGCTACATTATGACGAGCGGGGAGGCCTCAAGTACGTCACCACGCCCACAGGATCCGCCCACTTCTTCTCCATGCAGCCGTCCTTTGGTTGGTTCGTGTTCTCCTACACGCCCCCGGGCTCGACACACTCCTACAAGCAGTACCTGGACCACGCAGGGCGGCTCTTGCTCACCGCCTTCCCCGCAGCCTCGGCAAAGGTCCTCTACACGTACACGGAAGCCGGGCAGCTTAAAGAAATTGTTTCAGGTGATGGCAAGACTGAGTTTTCCTACGGGAGTGACAGCCTCTTGTCGGAGATCATGCATGAGGAGGTAGACCTGGAGTACAAGATGGACATGCTATACAACGGGAGGCTGCTGCAGGAACACCGCATAGATTACGGCCCCATCACAGGGCTCAGCAACGTTAAGTTCACCTACGAACACGACTCCAACTTCCGGGTTACGAGCTGTGCTGGTCGTATCGGTGGCCAGAGCCTGCATCCCTTCCCCTTCGCTTACAGCTCCTCTACCGGCGGGCCCTCACAGATCGGACCCTTCACGGTAACTCGGACGAAGCTGAACGAGACGACCATACAGGACGGTACTGCCATCTTCTCCCGGCAGCTTAACTCACACCTCCATGAGGCTCAGTCGTCCGTCACCATCCACAGTATGGAGGTGTTCAAGCTCCAGATCTTCTACAACCCCGACGGCAAGATCACCCAGACTAAGACCTTCACCCGCAACTACCACAGTAAACCCTACACCAACACCCGCAACTACACCTACGACGCCGACGGCCAGCTCATCAGTGTAGAGGCCAAGGAGCCGTGGAGCTTCTCTTACGACGCCAACGGTAACATGCTCTCCCTCACCTACTCCACCAACACCATCCCCATGAAGTACGACTCTCAGGACCGCATCGTCAAGTTCGGGGAGGGAGTCTACCGCTACGACTCCAGAGGCGCCATCGTGCAGAACGCTCGCGAGGTCACCTACCACTACAACGCCCGCGGCCTTCTCGTCAGAGCTGCAAAATCAGGTCGCTTCAACATCCGTTACCTGTACGACCACGAGGACCGGCTAGTGGCCAGAAAGGACAACTTCGGCAACGTGACGCAGTTCTTATACACAGACCAGCGTCACCCGGACCAAGTGACGCACATCTACAGCCCGCGTGACGGTAACCTCATCACACTGGTGTATGATGACCGTGGACACATCATCTTCGCACAGGTAAACACCATCTGTCCCCATTCTTATCTTTATTTCACATTTCTTCTTATAAACAAAAGATATGTAATCACCCTTCATAACATGTTTACATACTTCCGCTAATCACTGAATCACCACCAGTCTCAAGTAACTCGTATTATTATTGTTTGATCCTTCTGTTGGTTATCCCAATTGATGTGTCTTATCTCTAAAATCAAATGTTCATAATTAACCAATTGAGAACGATGATTTAACTCTTTGAGAACGACTAAATAACTCTGAGGATGTTAATTTAACCCTTTGATGTTGATGGTTTAACCCTTTGATGTTGACGGTTTAACCCTTTAATGTTGATGGTTTAGCCCTTTGATGTTGATGGTTTAACCCTTTGATGTTGACGGTTAACCCTTTAATGTTGATGGTTTAGCCCTTTGATGTTGACGGTTTAACCTCTTAATGTTGACGGTTTAACCCTTTAATGTTGATGGTTTAACCCTTTGAAGTTGACGGTTTAACCCTTTAATGTTGATGGTTTAGCCCTTTGATGTTGACGGTTTAACCCTTTAATGTTGACGGTTTAACACTTTAATGTTGATGGTTTAACCCTTTGAAGACGATGGTATAAAATCCTTTTCACCCTCACAAGATGTTCTGCAAATGAAAGTTCCCATCACCACAACACAGCCTCACTCACCACAACACAACCTCCTCACCACAACACAACCTCCTCACCACAACACAGCCTCCTCACCACAACACAACCTCACTCACCACAACACAACCTCCTCACCACAACACAACCTCCTCACCACAACACAACCTCACTCACCACAATTTAACCTCACTCATCACAACACAACCTCCTCACCACAACACAACCTCACTCACCACAACACAACCTCACTCACCACAACACAACCTCCTCACCACAACACAACGGCCCCTCATGGCTCTCTCCCTCCCCACAGGTGTACCGCAGGAAGTACTATATAGCGACGGATGAGTGTGGGACGCCCGTGATGGTGTTCAACCAGTACGGGGAGGTGGTCAGGGAGATGATGAGATCTCCCTACGGTCACATAATGTACGACTCTAACCCTTACCTCTACCTCCCCGTCGACTACTGCGGCGGTCTACTGGAAACTCGTCTCGAGCTCGTTCATATGCCCAGAGGACGTATCTACGACCCTCTTATAGGTACGACCTCTCTTTATAGGTTATGACCCCTCTCTATAAATATCGACCCTTCCATTATAGGTAAGACCTCCTAATAGGCACTACCCCCTGAAAGGTACGACTCTAGTTATAACCCTTACATATGTTTTAACCCTTCATAGGTAGTATCCCCTCATAGGCACGACCTCATCATTTGCACCACCCTATCATTTGCACCACCCTATCATGGGTACGACGCCTCTCTAAGTACGACTGCCTAAGTGAGGTGATTCACTGTTTCTCTATTGTGATGAATAAGTCTCTCTCTCTCTCTCTCTCTCTCTCTCTCTCTCTCTCTCTCTCTCTCTCTTTCCATAAAGCTAATTCATTGATATAGTTTCTCGCCATAAATTCCATAAATTTAGTTTATCTTTAACACTTCCTCTACTTAATCTCCCCCTTAGCCCCTCCCCCAGCCCCCTTAGCCCCTTCAAACCCTCCCATTACTTTCCAGTCTTTAAACATCCTCCCCATTAAGCTCCTTCCTTAGCTTCCCCATTAATCCCCTACCTTTAGTTTTCTTCCCATTGCTCCCCCATCCTTAGTCTAAGTCCATTTCCCATAATTTCTCCCCATTATCTATGTTCTACCCATTACTCCACTTTACCCACACCTCCCCTCTCTTAGTTCCAGCCTCGTGCCACCCACCCCCACCCCTTCCTTCTCATAGTTCCAGCCTTGTGCCAACCCCTCCCCCCTTCCCTCCTTTCCCTTCTCATAGTTCCAGCTTCTTGCCAATCCTCCCCTCTTCCCATTCCCTCCTCCACCCCTCCCCCCTCTCTTAGCTCTAGCCTCGTGCCAATCCCCTCCTCTCACCCATCCCCCTCCCCCCCTTCCCCCTTGACTAACCCTTTCCCCTTGGGTTGCTCTACAGGTCAGTGGTTGTCGCCAGCTTGGGGTGACGTGCCACACAACATCCTCAGCCCGGCTAAGCTTTCTCTTTACCGCTTCAATGGTAACGATCCCATCAACGTTCACCTCACTCACTGGAAGAATTACGGTGAGTTTGTTTTCCATCCGTCAATCAGGCTTTTACGTTATTAATCAGGCTTCTACGTCATCAATCAGGCTTTTACGTCATCAATCAGGCTTTTTAATTCATAAATCAGGCTTTTTAATTCATCAATCGGGCTTTTTAATTCATCAATCAGGCTTTTTAATTCATCAATCAGGCTTTTCAATTCATCAGTCTGGCCTTCAGTTCATCAGTTAAGTCGTCATTCCAACTTTCAAACAAGTCCCCAGTGAGTTAGTCAATCAGTGGATTCTTCCATCAGTCATATTGTGTATCAGTTAGTTTATCAGTCAGTTCATTAGTTAATCATCCCATCAGTCAGTTAATCAGCCTACCAATCAGACGCTTAATCTGATTTATCAAGTAATCCACCTAGTTTGTCAATCATTAAAACAGTTAAGGAAAGCTTTATTAAACTGTTTATATGTAATTACAAACAGTCATAACCACACTGAAAGACTTGTCCTATAAGTAACACAATAGTTAAGATGTTTGTCTGTGATTGGTCGATAACTAAAGGATTCCATCTTTATTTTCTTCCCTCCATCGAAGACATCTCACTTTACCATTGTTTCCCCTCACAATAGTTCCATTTTCTATGACTCAGATTACAAGGCGTGGCTCTCTAGGCTAGGCTATAACTTGGAGAGCCTCGCCCCTCAGCTAGCGTGGGCGTCCAGTACCCCAAGACCTCCACCCACGCTCTGGCAGGCCTTCACCCGCACGCCCATCCTCCCCATGCGTGCGGCCTTCTCCCCATTTACTGACCAGGTATGTTCGTTCCCATTAAGTTAAGCTTCTTTTGAATGGTTAGGTGAGAGCTTGTTGGAATGTACTCTTGTTTACAATATTCAATGGGCGTTTAGTATCTGATTTTTGCTCGTCTTAAGAGATAATAAATACTCCTAAAGTAATATTTCTTATAAGTATGATTTATATTAATTATTCCTGTGAATATTATTTTTGTAACTTAAGAAAATAAATTAAATTAAGTAATTTACGTTATTATACTGATCATTATTTAAAAGACTTTGTGATTTCTGAGTACATGATCCATCGTCTTATAAGTCTAATGGGTTCCGACCCTAATACCTCCACATTCTTATTATATTTCAAATTATCCTGATCCATTTAGAGAGATCGGAATCCATTATTAGGCTCATTAAGACTGGTTCCTTAATCCCGGTCGTTAGTTAGTTTTGATTTGGTTTGGTTTGGTTAGGTTTAGGGGCTCAGTTGACCAATCACCAGGTTAGGTTAAGGTTTGGGGCCCAGTTGACCAATCACCAGGCAGTACTATGCTATTAACGGTGTCTCTTAAACCTAATGAGATAAACCATTCAACCTCATAAACCTAAAACCCCCACCACCCTGTTTAATCACCCCCCGCCTTGGTCTTACAGGTAGTGGGCGTGAACTGTGTGAGTGGTCTGGTGCTGACGCTGGAAGAGGCCGCCCATACCACCGCCCGTCTCTCCACACTAACGCCCACACGCCTCCGTTACGACTTCTGGCCTCACCGTCACAAGGTCTGTATGAGAGTGTAATGTATTGGCCGGTAGACGAACTATTTTGTTATCATTTGTGATATACTGAAGATTGAGCAGTAAACAGTAATATTTCTCATTGATATATTAGCCAGTTAAGACAATAATACTTCTCATTGGCCAGTAAAGAGTACCGGTAATATTTCTCATTTATATTACCAGTAATACTTATCAATGATATCTGTCTGTGCTTGTCTTGGTAAGTGTAATCTGTTCTCGGTCGTGCAATCTGTTCTCGGTCGTGTAATCTGTTCTCGGTCGTGTAGTCAGCCCCTTCGTCTATGTCTCCTTCAGGTGGAGATCTCGACGGTTCCTGGGCCCTTCGGTGAGGGGCTGCTGGTGTCCTCGGTGGAGGGGCGGGCCATGGTGACGGCCACGGACCAGGCCAACCCCATCTTTAGGGACGTCCTCACCTCCGTGTTCAACAACTCCCTCCTGCTGGACATCACCCTCACCACACACAACACCCACGTCTTCTACTTCGTCAAGGTGAGAAGAGGATCAGTCAGGTGTTCCTCAAGAGAAATCACAGGTGTTTCTAAGCTGTTATCTACATCAATCAACACTCTGAATACCACCAATATTGACTGACTGACTGACTGACTGACTGAGTAACACATGTACTGAGATACTGTACGCAGTGACATAGCATCAAGAGCAGTTGCTGATCAGTCTTGTTTCACACAGTTTAAGGAAGAAAATGACTTTCCTTGTTAATATTTAAAGGTGAGGGAAGTAATTATTTTAAGGCAACACAAAGGATATACATGTAAACATATTTCTGAGTCAGGTGAAGAGTCTTGGCGCTTTATAGCGATGGGAAAAAAAAACTTCAGTTCTGTATTCAGGCAGAGGACACATGAGTAGAGCTGCCACCACACACTTCATTAATTCCTAGTTACGTCCCCCTCTACTCCTCCTCCCCTCCCCCCTCCCCCTTCCTTCCTCTCCCTCTCCCTCCCTCTCCCTCCCTCTCCTACCTTCCCCTCCCTTCCCCTCCAGAGGTAGACACCCCACCACATACTCCCCCCTCCCTTCATCATCTCCCCTTTCGCATAAAGGTATGGAATCTGTAGCTCTCGCGTAGTAATTAAAGCGATTACTTTAAATGGGAGGCGATTAAGGGCGAGGATTTCTTCGAATGGCGACGATATCTAGGTGTGAGGATTTCCCGAGGGGAGATTACACAGGCTAGAGATATAATGGAGAAGGATTTTCCCCTCCAGCCAAGATTTTCTTCATATGTGAGAGTGTTGGTCTTGAGGGAGACGGGGGTGGGGTGGGGATGGGTGGTGGGGTGGGGTGTTTTGATAGGTAGATAGAGTTGGTGCATATGAGGGTGTAGGGGCGTCCTAATTGGTAGATGGGGAGTATGTACAGTATACTTAAGAATGTAACTGCGTCCTGATTGGTGGAGGGAGCAAAGTGTGTATACGAGGGTGTAGGTGTAAATGATCCAGTCAGTGAATTTGTTTACTTCACGATGCTGACAGAGTTTCATTCCTTGCCCTTCTACAGCAAAATAAAAATGATGGGAGCGATTACTGTCTAAAGTTAAGGAAGGAATGATGTGAAATACCTGATGGGATGATGTTCTACCTACCAACTGTCTCTCATGAAATCATTGATGGTTGGTGTTCACAGATGGTGGAGAGGGGTGGGTGGTGTCCTTGATAGATGGACTGCCAACACTTGACTCAAGAATAGCGGCATTTCACCTTGTGTACACTATAATAGCACAAGTCACACCCCAAGTGCCTCGAATGCCCTATTATCATTTTTTTTTACTTTATAAACATTTTAATGGTTTTGCTCAAGCCCTCAGTAAAGTCTAATATTTTTTCTCTCTCCCCCCCCCCTTTCTCTTCCTCCCTGCTACAACCTTCCCTTCGTCAGGAGAACTACTGGAAAGCCTCAGAAGACATGACCCAGCTGAACCGCCTGGGTGGGGAGGTCAACATCACCATCCACGAGCCCTCCTCCTCCCAGCCCATCACCCCCACCGAGGAAGGCAGCGACAAGTTCGTGGACGTCAAACTCCACAGCGCCTCCGCCGTCATCCACATACGCTACGGCACCACCATCCTCCAGGAGAAGAAGCGGCTCCTCAGACACGCTAAGAAGGTGAGGGAATGGGGGAGATAAGGGGGTTAGGCAGGCTAAAGATTGTCTGGGGAGCGGGGAGGCTACATTAAGGGAATAAGGATAATAGGGCCAGACGATGGAGGAAGCAGGGTAAGGGATAAGGAGGGTACAGTCAGGTAATTAGTATAAAAGGTTCACTCAGGTGTTGTGATAGTATGGCAAATAGTCTCTCTCTCTCTCTCTCTCTCTCTCTCTCTCTCACAATCTACAATGTTTACCTTTTGTTTTCACCTAATCATTAATTTCCTCTTCCTCCCTCCATCTCTCCCAGGTGGCCATCCGACGTGCTTGGGCCGAGGAACGAGACCGTCTTTCTTCTGGTCTTCCGGGGACGGTGGAATGGTCCTCCAGCGAGACGGAAGAGCTAATGTCCCGGGGCGCCGTCAGCAGCTACACGGCGCGCTATCTCCACCCCCCGGAGACCTACCCGGCTCTCCTGGACGACCCCACCAACGTCCGTTTCTTCAAGGACACCAAAAGAACCAGACGGAATTCGAAGACGCGGAGGAGGTCTCACAGGTGTCGTAAGTGGTGGAAGGGACTCTGCTAGACTCGGCTCTCTGCTGCTCCCTCCTGTTGTGCAGCTGTTACACGTAAGAAAAAAAAAGAAAATCAGCTGTGAAGGGAGAAGTGATTTTTGCAAGCTGTTCGTAAACACAGCTGCTCTAAAGGAGGGAGTGGTCATGCAGCTGTTCGTTGAAAAATACAGCCAGCTGCTGCAGAGGAAAGAGGAGTGTTTGGCAAAAAATAGATAAATAGCTGGAGTGACTGTGCATTGTAGACTCTGATCATTTCGTCCGGTTTTAGTTTTCCTCTCTGCTCAGATAAAGAGAGAGTTGGAAGCAGCTGTGGCAGAGTCGTCCTGCTCCTTCTCCTCCTCCTCATCACTTGTTGCCCCTCGACCTGTGCCAGGCGAGGGGCCAGACAGGTGGCAGAACGTGACCAGACTGTAGGGGGTTGCCCGCTGTCTCTTCCTCAGGTTATCAAGGAGTTACAGCGAGGTTCCCACGTTACTTGTCTTAGACCTTCGAAAACACAAGAGACAATGTCCTTTTTTTCTCTGAATTTAATAATAAAACTTATATCAAGCTAATTAATTTTTAGACTTCCATGAACGATATTTGGGGGCGTGTGCTGGTGAAGGTGTGAGGACCAAAACGTATAGAACAGACAGTTACTTACATCTCCTCTTCGACGTCCGTTCACTATGGAAGTTAAGGTGTGGCCGAGAAAGGTGGTGAGTGTTGTGTCTTACAGAACTGGAACTCTGAAAATAAAATCAAACAGTCGTGTACGCAGCAGTGTTCTTAGTACCCTGGGCAAGATATATCCCTGCAGTGGACACCCGTGACCTGAACTAACTGTACACGAGAGGTTTATGATGTGTTGCAGCCTCCAGGTGTTCTTGTCCTGAAGGTTCCGCCACACTGCTACTCTATACCAGGACGAAGACTGCATGTGATAATCAATTATATATGAAGAAAAAAGAATGCACGATTTTTTTTTGTCTTTTACAGTCTTAGAAATTAACGGAAATGTCTGTTTGATTAAAGTGCGATGCTTGGAGGTTTAGGTTGACAGTTTAACTGAAGGAAAAATCATAATATAAATAATTATGTCCAACACAACTTTGCTACATGGAGAAAAAAGTTGACAGGACATGTTTAGTGCAGCGGACCTGTGAGGTACTCCTCTGGCGGGAGAGTGAGTGTGTGTGTTCGTGTGTGTGTGTGTGCTGCTCAACAGAGGGAGCCAGTTAGCGCAGTGTGGAGAGTTGTATGCTAAATGATACTCACAGCAACACCACCTGTGCGGCTCTCAGTTCTCGGGCTGTCACCTCCTGCTCTCAACTGCTCGGATGTCAGCTTCCCCGGCTGTCAACTGGCCTGGCCTCCTGTCAGCTATTCGGCTGCCGACTGACTTCCTGTCAGTTGCCCATTTGTCAGCTGTCTACTCCACTGGTGTCAGCTTCTCGGCGTGCTATCATTATCCCCAGTGCCAGCCTCCACCCGCCGCCCCTTGCACCACCACAAGAGGCCGTCACTACACACTCGCTGTTACAACAAAACACTTGTGAACGAATTAATAGAGTTAGACGAGGAGTGGTTGTTGTACGGCGGGTCCCGCTAGTCCCATTCCTTCACTTAGACACCATTGATATCAAAGAGCTTTTTCACAGTAGAACTACACACACCTATATATATATATATATATATATATATATATATATATATATATATATATATATATATATATATATATATATATATATATATATATATATATATATATACAGACGTATATAAACACATATATTTCCACACATATATATGTAGATATACAATATATTACAAGATAGAGTAATCCTGCAGAGAGTTAGCTATCCTCTAGGCCAGTTAGTTCCGTCTCATCACCACCGGCGCTTCTCTTTAGTAAACATTATAAAAGATGGAATTTTAAACTTTTCATAAACAAATAAGGGCGACCTTTTCCACTACTACGAGAGACGGCATTATTACTATTAACAAAGTTCATGTTAAGCCTCACTGTAACACCAGGCCTACTCGAGGTGTTCTTACAGCCAATGGGAGTTTATCTCTGTGTTGTGTCTCACTCTGGGGGGCCGCACCCCTCCCTGGACCCCTCACCACCCTCCCCTCATCACCCCTCACAGTGCGAAGAGTCAGACTCTCAATATTTCTGCAAATTATTTTTTAAAAGTTTGTATTTTTTCAGTTTTGTTCCACTTTGATATAAATCAGAAAATATATTGTAATTTTTAATACCGAGCCATTGGCATTTTATCCGAGTTGGTGTAAAATACAGAGTTCATTTATTTTGTTTTAGACTTTTTTAATCTGAAGTGTTGTTTTTATTTAGTTTAACAGAAAAGAATTTGTTTGTTTTTTGTCAAATTGGTCGGTGAAAATGAAACACTTTGTCCAGTACAGTTATTGTGTTGTTTTTTACAGATTATTTTTTGCATTAAATAAAATTATTGTTTCAATATTATTTATTTGATTTATTGTTTTTGTTTAATTTGATATGACAAAATTTTTATTATTATTATTATTATTATTATTATTATTATTATTATTATTATTATTTTTCTATCATTTATTTGTTTTTTGTGTTAATTACCAAAGAATTCGTTCAATATTACCATGGCCAGTACAGTACATATTATCCTCTCTATTGTAACTCATATCCCATGGATAATGAATATTATATTCGCGAGGAACCATTTTTATGACTAAAATATCAAAGTACAATTTATTTGCCTTTGTTTGTGTGAAGAAAATAATGTGAAGACAGACACGGACAAACATCCCTCGACACTCCTGTTCGGAACTGTCTCGAAGCCCAAATGAGATAATTATTTCATCCAGGTTCGAGCAGGTCCGGAGACTCGTTCAGAAGCTAAGAGTCGGATCTGTACCGAATCCAAATCAGATATTACATCCATTTTCGAGCAGCAGGTTCGAAGGTTCGTATCCATCAGTTTCGGAGTCTCAAGCCGTGTGTACAGGGATTTTTGTTTGTGACTAGAAACTATTTGGTTTTTGTGAGTTACGTTTTTAAGAGAAATTTAATGGTAAATCTTATATGAGTTTGATACTCACACCTTTATTTTGTGAGGAAAATCTGAATGATGCGAGACTTTCTGTTATTGCCAAAAGAAGACTTTGTGTTTTATAATTTTCACTTCAGAGATCATTTCTGTATTGTAAGAGTAATATTTTTTCGCAAGTGAAACTCCTTAATACTTTGTTTAGTCAATCATTGTGACAACTTTGTATTGTTCCTTGTGACTCAGTACTGTTTGCTATTAATAGTTATTTATAGTTTGTGCCATTACTGTAAACTTTAATAGAGCTCCCTTGTAAGAGCTCTTAATATTTTGTGTCAATAACTTTGAAAAAGCTCTTTATACTTTGTGAGTAGTGTATAATTTGAAATGTCTTCTTCATACTTTCTGTGAGTAGTTTATCCTTTGAGAAAGTTCTATATATTTTGTGTATACTGTTTCATTTGAGAGCTCTTAATACTATTGTGAATATACTTTGCATGAGTACTCTATGCTCTGAGAAAAATACATTTACTTTGCGTGAACGATTTATATCTTGAATAAGTGCTGCATAAGTTGAGAGATATATACTTTGTGTAAATATACTTTGAGAAAGCTCTTTTATACTTTAAGTTGTGTTTAATTTGCAAGAGCCCTCTGTACTTTCTGTGAGTATATTTGGTGAGTACTTCCAAATTGACATGAGTGCTGTATATTTTCTGTAAGTACTTTAATACTTTGAGAGAGCTCTTTGTACTTTCTGTGAGTACTTTCTACTTTCCTTCTGGCGCCTGGGTGAGCTTGCCAAGCGTCGGTCTTGAATCACGACAAAGATGATACAGGGGTGCTAATAAGTTTACGCCATTTGTATTAACTTCTCAGACTCCAGATGTAAATAATATTATGTATATTTAAATCTCTTTCTCTCTCTCTCACTAATCTCTCTCCCTCTCCATTAAACTCTTTCTCTCACTTCTTCCCATCCACTACTCATTTCTTTCTATCTACCTGAGCTCTTTAAATCTCTCGTATGTAAACCTCAGAATTATGTAAGTAAATCCCTTTTATCAGGAAGTCGTAAGTCACGTTGGAATACAATGTTTACCAAAAAAAAAAAGGCTGCAAAATATCAGTAATAACAACAACAAAATTACTACTACTACTACTAATAATAATAGTAATAATAATAATAATAATAATAATAATAATAATAATAATAATAATAATAATAATAATAATAATTAGCCTTTATTAACATTAAATTATTTCTTGTTTAATATTAAAAAAAAGAACGAAAGTGTGTTCTTACTAATTGTAAAAAAATAAAATTATGTAAACATGAACGGGATAAAAGACCAGTGTAAATTTCTACTGGGAATTAAATAATGTTCCAAGAAAATGTCAAAAGGGGAAAAAGTAACGTACTTTCTCTTGCTTGATCTGAGCACAAGTCATGGAAATACTTGACCAGTCTATGGGGGGAGGAAAATCGACCTTAAGGAAAAACGTCACAAAGTTTATAATGCCTTGCGTCGTGAACAGACTTCCTCACACACCAGGGATCCTAGAGAGAGAAACAACTGTTGGAAGACTAATTACTGGGATTACAACGCCGTGGATTTTAGGATTTAACACCGTTGTAAATTTATGGTTCCACGTCGTGTATTCGGCTTAATCCCCAGCACCTAGGATTTCACGCCGTGTGTCGAGCAACATCCACATTATCTAGGATTCCACACCGTGTATGCCTAGGATTCCACGCCGTGTAAGCCTAGGATTCTACGCCGTGTCAGCTTAGGATTCCACGCCGTGTAGGCCTAGGATTCCACGCCGTGTAGGCCTAGGATTTCACGCTGTGTAAGCCTAGGATTTTACGCTGTGTAAGCCTTGGATTTCACGCTGTGTAAGCCTAGGATTCCACGCTGTGTAAGCCTTGGATTTCACGCTGTGTAAGCCTTGGATTTCACGCTGTGTAAGCCTAGGATTCTACGCTGTGTAAGCCTTGGATTTCACGCCTCGTAAGCCTTGGATTTCACGCTGTGTAAGCTTAGGATTCCACGCTGTGTAAGCCTTGGATTTCACGCTGTGTAAGCCTTGGATTTCACGCTGTGTAAGCGTAGGATCCCACGCCGTGTACCGGGTTCACCCACACTCCACGCCGACTTGCCTTGCCTAGTCTTCACTCACCTTAGCATGATCTTTGACTGCCTTTTAAAACCGTATATAGTCACTTTCCTTATAATTACTTGACCTACTGATGCTTTATCACGTCTTCTTCTTCTGCTATTCGTCCGTGCCCGCTCCTGCCTCGACCAGTTGGCATCACGTTCTGGTGACTGCTTATCCTTAGGGGTCTATCCTGAGTGGTGGATATTTCCAGAGTGATTGGCTAGGTTTAGAAATCGTCCAGCTAATCCCGTGGTTTTTCATGAAAGGAATTGTGATTGGCTGGCTGACAGGTCTCGACCAATTACGAACAAGATTTGTAAGTCGTCAGCCAATCATAGACCTTCCAGAGAATGATGTTGGGTGACGTTGCTCAGGGCAGGACTGGGTACAGGCGCCTGTACAATACGTCTTCTAAGTCCTTTATTTTCCATGAGATTTAAGCTACGTTTTGTATGACTTTGCCAAAGATTCGCCGCGTACGTCTGTCTGTACACAGAAATATTCTTTTTTAAGTCACATTTTTCTTGCTGAAAGCTAATAGTAATAAAGGTAAAAAAAAACAATTCATGCATTTATTTAATGTTGTACTATATGTGATCTCTGTAAATATTATAATACTGACGAATAATGTAACTCATAAGAGGATGTAAATAATGTGCCCCCCCCCCCTTCTCTCCCTCCCTACCCCTCACACTCCTCATTCAACCCCGTCCTCCTCCACATACTCCTCCACCTCCTCGTCCACCTCCTCCTATCCCTACACCTTGTACATAGAGAAACAAAGAATGCATCGCAACGTAAAGAAGTATCGTAGACTTTTAAGGGAAAATGACTTGGTTGAGAGGGCATTAGTGGTTACCGAATGTGGTCGTAAGTCAAGTAAAATATATTTAAAAAAAAGGTAAAAATAAATCGCTTCTTTAGTCACTCCACGTTGGGTTTGCTCGGCAGCATAGTTGTAACGAAACCTTTTTTATGTGGTCACTTAGTTGTGGACAAATGGATGTCATAGAAACCCTTCCACCTCCTAATCCAACACCACCTCTTCCTCCACCATCACCAGCCTTCTTCACCACTACCTCCTCCACCATCATCAGTACCACCTCCCCCCCCCCTCCCTCCCTCTCTGTTCATCCATCCCTCTCCTCCTTTCATCCCTCCAATTTACCCAGCCATCCCTCTCCTCTCCCTTCTTCTATCCATCTCTTACCCCCTCTATCTATCCAGCCCTCTCCACCATTCCATGCATCTTATCTTCATACCCTAACCCCCCGCCTCCCCCATCCCCAGTAACTCCTCTCCGGAATTCATTTTAACTATGTCCAACCCAACCTTCCCCACCCTCCCCCGGATTTACTGCTACATAAATCCTCCTTTAACCCCCTGATTTACCCCCTAATTTAATTATCCTACCCCCTCCCCAATGGATTTACCCCTTAATTAAATCCTCCCACACACCCCTGGATTTACCCCCTACCTAAATCCATCCAAAACCTCTTCCCTTACCCCCTCTCCCTTTGGATTTTCTTCCTAGATTCAACATCAAAATCCCACCACATTTACTAATAATAAAAAAGATTTGCATCCTCCTGTCATTGCTTTTATTATTATATATCTGTGAGGGAGGTAAGGAAGGCGAAGGTAAATAAACACACACACTGGCTCATCTGCTGGCCCCCACCACCCCACTTGGTTCCTGTAAGCCGTATCGGAACTGCGAGGCGGACTGTAAAAAATGAGAAGCCAGTGTGGTCTATCTTCGTCTTCTGAGCTTCCCCCAGGATTGTATGGTCGATGGTCTTGGCTGTTTATAAATGAAAGTGTTTCTATCAAATAAAATGAATAATTTTGTAGTATTCTCGTTTTATTATCATTTGTGGGGATTTTTTTTTATGGGGGAAGAGGGAGAGGATGAGGATAAATTTTGATATGTGGAGTAGATAGTAAAATATATTTAATTCTGTAAGATTTGATAAACCTTTTATTGGGGGTGATAGTATTATTTTTCTTCTACTTCTTGTATTATTGATCTTATCTTCTTTATCTTGTTTCCACTCCATCACTAGTGTAGGGAAACAACACAGGGAAAAAAAGAGACAAATTATCTAAGGAAAACCAAAACAAATATGAATATACAATATAATTTTCAGGACTAAAAGGGAGAGTGATACAATGTGAAATAATGAATCTTTAAAAAAAAAATGGAAATTATTATTCAAATTTATATAGTCCCCCCTTCCGTTTTCTTTCAAATGTAATTACACCAAGAAAGTTTGGAAAGCGAGGTATCACGGTGTCAACGTTCTAGTGTCAGTTTTACATAACTCCTGAAGGGTGTGGATGGCGTCGGTCTGTAGGATCACTGAAGCTGAAGGATCACGTCAACAAAAACAACGATCTACAGGAGGCCAGGGAGTCTACTGGTGGCCTAGACTCGTGTACAGACTCCTGAACTGTATTATACACAGGTAAGCCTCACAGAGTTTACTAAAAAGAATGGTCTACGTGTTGGAGCTTTGCCGCTGACGTGAGAGCATAATTTTTATTTCGTGTTGACAGCCAGTGTGAGGAAATATGCTGATGTTAGAGTAAGACCAAATTATACGAAGGTTATAATTTGCTCAGTGGAACAGGTAAATTTTGTTTTAGTTAACATGGGGAGACCTAAACGGAACAAGTCCAAATTGGTTAATATTTTACTTGGTGTACAGTAAACAATGGAACAGTATTACAGTTAAGTGCTAAAAGTGAAGTCAAATTCCTGGTGCGTGTTTGACTGTCCCTGATCGTGTCCAGCTTAATTTGGAGGAAGGTGAAGTTGTCCACGCGAAAGAACCATAAAATATCCAACAGCTCGTGACTGCTTGTTAGTATTGACGTGACCAGCAGTGTTTGACGCTGCCGGTGTTGGTAAACCTATAGAGCAAGAGCGTCACTTTATAACTTATTTTTTTTTACGGTTTATAAAATTTCAATTTCGGTGCTTGGAGAAGGAAAATAAACTGTGAATTTACCGAAGATATTTTCAGATCCACACAGGGAAAGCTCGCCGTCTCGTCTATTTACAGTCGGAAAATACGGAAGTAAAACATTTATGTCAGTAGATAAACGAATCAACCAGTCCAGCCTAACCAAGCCTAATGGGGTTAACCACTGCATAGTATTTATACCGTAGGTTAGGTAAGGAATGCCTGGATACCGGTAGTCCTTATTTTTAATGTTATATTTTGTTAGGGTTCTGGGCTGCGTTTAGTTGGGATGAACGCGACAGTATTGCCATAGAGTATTTTAATAATAATAATAATAATAATTATCGGTTTATTGAAAGAGTTTGGCAGTCAGAAGGCTGAAAATATACAGTTACATATTTGGGGAATGGGTTTCGAATTACAAATAATATACAAGTAACATAAGTGATACAAATAAGATATATAATAACTAGATGGGGAAAAGCTCAAACTAC